GCTCGCTAGAAACATTGGCAAATTGTGTGCCAGGTAGCCAGGATGTCCAAGCTTATCTGCAAGACGTCGAATTCCATCTGGAAATGAGACCCAATGTCACTGACAAAAATAGACTCTATTTGCTCCGAACGACATCCAGCCCTGAAGCGCCCAGTTTCCTGGACCGGCAGCCTGCACACACAAAGGCTGATTACCACCTGCTCCGAGAAGCCCTCATCCAAGAATTCGAAGCGCACAGTTTCCTGGACCGGCAGCCTGCTCACACAAAGACTGATTACCACCTGCTCCGAGAAGCCATCATCCAAGAATTCGCTGACCCTGAGTCAGAACAAGGACTAGTGGCTGCCCTGGAGACGAAACAAGGTCGTCATGAATCTCCCCAAGCCTACTACAGCCGACTCAGACGAGCATACTTTGGAACTCACAACGAACCGAATATGGAAGACGATCTGAACTTCAAAACTCTCTTCCTGAGAAACCTCCATCCTGGAGTAAGCCACCATCTTGGTGTTCTCGCATGTCCGCGAACAATGAATGCTCAACAGTTGCGAGACTTGGCGCATAAAGCCTACGGCAAACAAAAGATGGCCTCGGAAAAGGGCTCCAAACCCACGGCAGTTCTTGACTTCAACACTCAAACTCAGGAGCTGGCTCTAGAGGGCGCCCAACATCAAGACCATGCCAAGCCGCCACACAAAGAGCGGAACACACCCTCGTCCAACAGAGAACGAGACTCCCATGCTGGTACCCGACCTAAACAGAGGAACAACCGCTGGGATGGACCGCATGGACGACAACACTCACCTGGACATCACTGGGATAAATCATGGGACCAATCAAGACCTCATGAGAATCAATGGGAGAGATTGTGGAATCAACCAAGCTCATTTGGAAACTCAAGAGGAAAAAACTCATGGGAATCCAACGGAACCTCCAAGGGAAAACGACAAACACACCCGGGAGCAACCAATCCAAGGAATCAACGAAGGAACTCGCAAAGATTCCAAGCTGACCGAGCTCAAACTGAATCCACACAAGAACAAAAGACATCACCGTGTTTCGACTCACAAGAGCTGATGAAAATGATGATGAAAGAGTTCTTCCACCGAAAGGAGGAGGATCGGAAGTGGGAAAAGAAAGAGAAACCAGAGTCAGCCTGACTAGCAGCCGGAAGAGAAGGCAGCAACCAGCTGACCCAACCAGCCACAGAGAGCAGCACTCCTTCACCTCACTCTCAGAGAACTGTAACCTCCATAACTTCAGACGGACAAGAAATCCCACCTGAACAACCTGCAAAACAGTCAGAAACTGACCCAACACCTGATGCGTCAGATCACAGCAGCGTCCATCAAACACCTGCTGACATCTCCATATAAGCCATCACCCAATTTCCTCGGGTCAAGTGAAACGAGTCAACAGGACAGTGGTCAGCATGTTGAAGAAGTACGTGTCCGCCAATCAAAAGGATTGGGATATTAAACTTCCTCTGGTACTGATGACCGTCAGGGCCACCCCTCACAGGTCTACTGGAGTACCCCCATTCGAGATGATGACGGGGCGACAAATGACACTACCGCTACACCTGCTGTACCAACCTGGTGACATGAACCTTGTCACCGCCTACACCACTCACCAGTACCTGGAAGAGTTGCATCAACACCTGAGAACAACTTTCGCCTTCGCGCAACATCAACTCCAAAGAAGTGCGAAAGGTCGAAAAAAGTGTGGTACTACAGCTTCGCCCATCCAAGGCAGAACGCTCCCCATTATGTTAGTGTGGTGTAGCGTATGGGATTGTCTGTCTGTGTCAGTTGGTTTGATCTCCCCCCTTTTTCTGTCGGTTGGAGCCCTGGTGCCTCAGACCGACAATCTCATACTCTACACCACACTGACATAACTTCTGTCATTTTAGGAAGACATATAGCTATCTTTCTTAAACGTAACACCTACACACTCTCCTCCGCCGCACTGCTAGGACCAACCTCTAGTAGAGAGGAGTTGTTCCACACATGTGACACTTTCCCTTGCTGTCTAACCTAGTTTAGTGTCCTTGTGTCTCTTTGTGTTTTTGTTTATAGCTATATATATATTTTTTTTTTTCCCTCTTTCTCTCTCTCACTATAATTTCCTTTCCCCTCTAGTCCCCTCATCAGGTAACTCCCTTACCTCAACTTTAAATCCAGGTCCCGAAAC